ACACTCATGGAAATTTCTAAATTATTCGTTTCCCTCCTTTTGCTCCCCTTTTCTTAACATTCCCGTTTTCTGTCATTCAGTTGAATTAAATATTCATGGCATACTTGCCATGCAAACCAGGCCTGCAATGGTGAACAACTCCGAGTGATTGCTTTCCAGAAGCTCATAGGTGCTGACACTCATCCATCCATTCCTTGGGGGCATGAGTATGCCCCGGTAAGTTCTGGTTCAAACAGGAAAACATGAATACAATAGGGTCCTTACATGTCTCAGTTACTCTTCTCTCATTGCTGGGACAAATACCCAATACCCAAGATTAAGGAAGGAGAGGTTTATTTAGCTCACAGTTAGTGGAAGTATCACCCTGTATTCAGCTGGCTCCGAGGCAGAGCGGCACATGGCAACATGGCACAGAGTAGCCATTCATGGCAGCAGCAAAGAGCCAGAGCAGCAGCTCAGGCAGGTAGCTAACCTCTCTCCTTCCTGACATTGTAATGCAGATCCCCCACCCCAGGACCAGGGTGTAGCACTCACCTGCAATCCCATCATTGGATTGAGAATCAATCACAAAGTCCAGAAGCTGCCCCATGACTGTGTAAGGCTTTGAGGGAATAACTAGACACAAACCATAACACTATCTGAGCACACATGGCCCACAGGAGCTATGGGCACATTCTGAGGGTCATCCTAATGAGAGAAAGGGCTCAAGAATATACCTGAAGGAACTGAACAGGCTGGAAGGAAGACCTGCCCTCGGAACTGGTGTGGTCATGTGCAGGAGGGTGGCCTGGCAGATGACCTGTGACAATATTGTGTGTCCAGTGAGAGAGGGGAGAAGCTCACCATGGCCAGATGCAGGTTTCATGGTTGAAGACTGCTGGAAAAGAAGGCTGGGGCTAGGTGAACAGAATTTTGGTTGTCACATGGGAGGCCTAGGGGTAGAGACCTCATTCTGAGCAGGTTTATTGGGGTTTAGCCAAGCAAGGAAAAGTATGGTCAGATCCAGGCCTCAGAAAGCATGTGGAGGATTCATTTGAAGGAATAAAAGCAGGATGTGAGTATTTTAGTTATCATTCATATTGTAACAAGTCACCCAGAACTTAGTGATTTATGATTACTCTGATCCGCTGGGTGTGGTAATGCCTGCCTATAATTCTAGTACTTGGGAAGCTGAGGCAGGATGATTATAAATTTGAGGCCATTGTGGGATATACAGTGAGTTCAAAGCCATCCTGGGCTGCATGGTAAAAAACCCAAATCAAAGAAACAGTAGCTTAGGGGAGGGCAGGGGCTTTGGAGTCTGGTCCGCCCAAGGGGCTGTTATTGGCCAAAAGGAAAACTATATTGTAACAATTTGCTCCATTTTAATACAGTGGAGATTCTAGAACACCAAAACAGGAGTGTTATATCTGCACCTATTACACTCTCAAAATGTTACCTTGTTTTTTTGTTTTTTTTTTTCACTGAACGTGCTCTGTGACTTTTGTAAGGTTTGATAAAGAATTCTTTAAAAACTATTATTACTACTATGATGATTAGGGTTGCCTCCCTGCACGCCAGGCAGCTATTACCAATTGTTCTGGACCATAATACATTATGATAATAATTTAGGGTTCTTTTGAACCACATTCGAGGTTGAGCTGAAGTTCTCTGGGTGTGTCTGAACGCTGAGGCGTCTCTACTGCGTGATGGCTTCTACACAAACAGTACTGCGGCTGCGTGGTGGAGACGCCGCGGAGACCACCGATACAACCCTGTGTAAGCAGTCACACGGTAGAGGCCTGCTGGGGCCATCGCTGCGCTGGCCGAGTAGAGACAGCACTGCTTCTGGTTCTCAGAAAGGCATTTTTCTAGCTGTAAGATGTCAGGAAATTTCTTTATGGCTTATTTAAATTTTCTATTTTAACATTGTAGATTATTTTTATTTAATAAATAATGGTAAAAAATTACCTACAGTTTTCTCTATGCATCACTTTAATTTTCTTTCTTTCTTTCTTTCTTTCTTTCTTTCTTTCTTTCTTTCTTTCTTTCTTTCTTTCTTTCTTTCTTTCTTTTTTTTTTTCAGAACCAGGGATTGAACTCAGGGCCTTGTGCTTGCCAGGGAAGCACTTATTCCACTGAGCCATCTCCCTGGCCCCTAATTTTCTATTTAAGTGGGTTAACATAGTCAGATGGCAGAACTTTAGCTATTCCACTGCAAACAAACAAACAAACAAAACAAACAACAGTGGCTTGTTACTGCCCACGACTTTGTGAGCTGGCTGGCTGGCTCTTCCACTTGTGCATTTGGTGGCATCCAGATGGAAGGCCAGGGGAGCAGGCCCCCTCGTCTGTGTGGCTTCAAGGCTTTTCTCCCCATCATTGCCCCAATCTGTGTTTTCACATATCGTGGTGCAAGCTGTCACTTCAATATTTTACCAATAATCAAAGCCACACAGATGAAAATGACCTCAAAAAGAGCTAACAGAAGAAAGTGTTTTTCTTAGGGACCACACAGTAGGGGATTAATTGGGTTGGGGAGATATCTCAGTGGCATAAGCACCTGCCTAACAAGAGCAAGGTTCTGGGTTTGATCCCAGGTACCGCATGCTGTGCCCCCTCCCGCCTGCTGGCCCTGGAATTGGGCGCGGTGGCGCACGCCTGTAATCCCAGCACTAGGAAGGCTGAAACAGGAGGATCACTACGAGTCCTAACTTCGTAGCAAGATCCTGCATCAAAAAAATTTTTTTTTGAAACTGTAAAAAGCAAAACCAAAACAAAACAAAAACTATATAAAAAAATAGGGGATTATTTTCTACATTAAAAGTCTTATGAGTAAGAAAGGAGCAGATATTTAGGAAATACAAAGATCCCGTGTGAGGGGGTACCAGATGAGAAGTCTAGGCAAAGTGCAGACCTGGTTACAGGCTCAGCGGGCTTGTGCTGGCCCTCCTTCCCCACCCCTAGCTCTCTCGCCTAGACACTGGGCACGTGGGCTGACAACTCAGAACTGTTTCTTTTCTAGAAACTTGCCCTTGACCAAACTGCCTGCCAGGGAGGAGATATACCCCGTCCCATGTCTGATTAGCACAGCCCCTTGCTTCCGGTGGGATTGACTCAGTTCTTCCAGAGCTTTCCTGTGTAATCACCCTGGCACTAGGTAAGTCTTTCATTCTGGTCCCTTGCCTCTCCTGAGAACAATTTCAATTCTACTGCTAAGGAGCCCAACCTAGAAAGCGAGGAGAGAAAGCCTTCAAGTAGGAAATGGAATTCCTGATGGCTTTTGCCTTCTTTTTCTTCTTCTTTTTTTTTTTTTTTGGCTGGCTCAGGCTGCCTTAAGGGCAGGTGTGGTGTGGCAGGTGGAGGTGGGGATCGAACTGCAGTCCCCAAGCCTGACTGGGTTTGCCCAGGCAGGCGCTTGAACAATTGAGCTAAGCTACAAGTCCCATTTTTTTTTTTCTTTAGGTAGTACTGGGGATTGAACTCAGGACCTTGTACTTTCCAGGCAAGCACTTATTCTACTGAACTATCTCCCTAGCCCCTCTGTGCTTTCTTAATTACATCCTTTTCTCCATCTGTTTCCAGTTTCCGTTTTTTCGCCTACTTTTGGTCTTCTCCCCTTTAGACTAGTTTTCTGAGAGAACTTTCTTTCTTTTCTTTTCTTTTCTTTTTATTTTATTAATTTTTTTTAGTATATGTGCTGCCAGAGTGAGCACTCTGAAAGACTTTTCTTCCCAACTTATTTAAGAGTGCTTGGATGATTCTTTCTGTGGGCCCAAATAGATTTATCTGCAAAGCACATGGCCTTTACCTTAAGGAAGCCAACCAGGCAGGCTCAGCCTCTGGAGATAATGATCTCAATCTCAGAAAGTAATAGTTGTCCTACCACTGGACAAGAACCCGGTCAGAGAGTTTGAAGACCTGGGACACCAGACAACCAGATATAAACTAATCAGAACATGGTATAGCCTGTACTTGGTCCACGGCACTATGCCTTAGTCAGGCCAATCGGACAATCAGACCCAGCTCCAAATGTTGCTTTCGTTCTTCATGAGATAACTGTTGTGAAGCAGGAAGTGTGTAACTCCAGGAGCTATGGCAACCACTGGGTGGCAGAGACAGAGGCTCCAGGCAGAAGGAAGCTGGCAGGGGAAACAGAGCTAAGAGACAGACAGACTGGACTCTGATGTCATTGTATGAGATCCTGACAAATGCTGTCTATTATTCTAGAGCTGTGCAATTGCACAGAATGACTTCCTGTCACCCCCAAATCCAGCTGGAGTTGGGTTCCACCAACTAAAAGGGGCCCAACCAAAATGCATGCATAGAAAGCACCTTTTTTCTTGTTTGCAGTGAAGAACCTTGTTTATTACACTCAGATATCTGCTTTCTGTTTGTCAGACATATCCTGTGGATATAAAGTGGGTGTTTAATCAGGGCAGTAGCCTCTTAGTTAGAAAGACTCTAAGTAAGCCAGAAAAGTGGAGCCTAGGATGCAGGAAGGCATGCAGACCTTCCACAGTCCTTGTGCAGGGCCACCCTGCGACTCCTCATCCAGTGTTCACTCTATTTCATCACATTGCCATTCAATTCCAAAACACCCTCTCTATATACTGTCTTCTTTCTATTGAGTCTTTTGATATTTTTCTTTTCCTTTTTATCACTGTCCCCTCTTCAAGGGATATGGTTATAACTTTGAGGCACCACTCTGAAAACATTAAAGCCCTCTACAAGGGTGACACTCTTGACTTCCTTGCTTTATTTTATTTTGTATGTATTTGGTACAGGGTCTACAGGGTCTCATTACACAGATCAGACTCCTAGTGATCCTCCTGTTTTCAGCATCCCAAGTGCTGGGATTATAGGCATGTGCCAGCATGCCCAGTGTCAGTCACTGGCTCAGTGTGCCCCAGGGGTGGGGCCAGCACCGCATGCTAGGAATTGAACCCCGATCTTTGTGCCTGCCTAAGCAGGCACTTTAGTCCTCTGAGCTATCTGGCCAGCCCAACTTCCTTGTTTTAGTGAGTCATTCTCCAACTTCTTCCCTGAGGCTTTCCTTGACATAGTCACATGCAGCTTGTGCTGCTAGTCATCTCTTGAATGCTTAGTCAGGTGATATATCTATCTATCTATCTATCTATCTATCTATCTATACATCAATCCTCAATTCTTAGTGGAAACTGGTGAGGTAGGTATTACTGTATTCATTTCACTTACTTATTTGGGTACTGAGGATTGAACTCAGCATTGTGCACTTGCTAGGCAGGCGCTTATGCTGCTGAGCTATTTCTGCAGCCCTCCTGTATTCATTTTATAAATGAGAATATAAATGAAAAGAGTGATTTTCCCAGAATATAAAAGGTGACAGGCAAGAATCAATGTGCAGTATTCTGACTCCTTCTGCTGTGTTCTTTCCTTTCTTCTCTGGGATGCTGCCATCCTGTCATGGAACCTCTTTGAAGGTTCTCCATGATATTAAAGATGCATATTCACTCAGTAATTAAAACAAATGATCGAGATCCAGTTGGGTGTCAGAGTCTCAAATGCTGAGAAGATAGTGGTGAGCAAGTCAGAGAACCTTCCTTTCCTTTCCTTTCCTTTCCTTTCCTTTCCTTTCCTTTCCTTTCCTTTCCTTTCCTTTCCTTTCCTTTCCTTTCCTTCCTTTCCTTCCTTCTTTTTGTTACTGGGATCAAACTCAGGACCTTGCACGTGCTAGGCTGGTGCTTATATTGCTGAGCTATCTCCCCAGCCCAGAGAACTTTTCTAATCAAGACAGAAAGAAAAAGAGAGAGCAAGAGAGAGCAAGAGAGAGTGAGAGTGAAAGAAAGAGAGAGAGAGAGAGAGAGAGAGATCAGATGCCAGTGGAGGGATAGAAAATACATGTGCAGACAGGTAACATATGTCATATGTCTTGTCAGGTGAAATTCTTTGCCATGTCAAAATCTGTGAAGGGAAATAAATTTGGCCAAAGGCATTAGAAAGACAGGGAGTGGGCCAAGGAGATAGCTCAGTAGAATAA